TTAGCCTTTACGCAGTTGGTCACCTTTCAGCACCGACATCCAGGGGAGGCTGGTGAAGAGCCACGTTCTGCTTCATCTTTGCCAATGAAGCCAGGGAGGCGGGGCCTGGGGGCAGCTCCTGCTCATCTGCCAATGGAGCCAGGGAGGCCGGGCTGGGGGCAGCTGCCAGGCCAGCAGCTAAGGAACGTGGCCCGCAGGCCCACCAGGGGCGGCCTCATCTGGCTCCCGGCCTCCGGGAGGTGGGAGGAGCTGGGTCTGGGAGTCAGACGACGGTTCCGGTCATCGCTCAGGTGACTCCCTTGTCTGGCCGAGTCCCCTGAACGCACAGTGGGGACGTCTTCCCTGCGGATCGGCCCGAGCGCTGGTGACAGCCGTTGAGAGTGTGGGCACCGCCTGGACGCGTGCTGCGCAGTGACTGCCCGTAAGGTGCCGCTGGCGTTTAACAGGCAGCGAGTGACCCCGCTCAGCCCGCCCCTCGGAGCCGACGCTCTGCCCTGAAGCTCGTGTCTGGACGAAGGCACCGTCCGGCTGTAGGATGGGGCGCTGGGGCCCCTGGAACGGGCAGCAGAACTTCCTACCAGGAAGCGAAACATCATCACAGCAGAGATCCGACCCCTCCGCGGCCCGGCCCCGGGGTCGCTGGCGGCACCGGTGGGAGGACGGAGACCTCGTACACAGGTTCTGTCTGACTCGAGGCTGGGGCTGGTGGGGCAGAGGTGCAGACCGGCGTCCAGCAGGCTGTGCTGGGGGCCTCAGCAGGAGGCTCCGGCGAAGCACCTGCCTTCTGCCCGCGCCTGCCCCCCGAGCCCGGGATGTGCCAGGGCCGTGGCCTCCTTCCCCTGGAGGACCTGAGGCTTCGGTGCCCGTCCAGCTGGACCTCAGAGTGGGGTCACAAGGCACTTTCCCGCCAGGGCCGGTGCTCTCAGTGCGAGGAACACACGCTGCCTCCAGGGCTCTCAGCAGCCGGGGGCGCCCCAGGGCAGCGTGCCAGGGCCGCATGCACAGGTACTGAGGCTCCAGCCACCCCACTGGGTGTCCACAGACCCCGCCGGGCAGATGCTGTGCTAACTGACAGGACTGACAGCCTAGGAGGAAAGACAGACGACGGAGCTTCACCAGGGTCCCAGCAGGCGGGTACACTCACGCCAATGCGTCTGCCTGCGTGGCTGCCAAGACAAATGCCACCTCTGAGGCCACCTCTCAGTCCCTGGGGTTTCCCTGTGGGCTCGCCCTGGTCCGTTGGCCTAGCCCTAGACTAACCTGCCCTGTTCCGCAGCTCGCCACCATCATAGACATGCTGGAGGGCGCGTTCTATGGCCTGGACCTCCTGAAGCTGCATTCGGTCACCAGCAAGCTGGTGGGGCGAGTGGACAAACTGGAGGAGGTAAGGAGCATGCTGGGTCTCCGGTCTCCGTGTCTTTCTCCTGACCAAGCCCAAAGTGTATCAAACTTCCCAGTGTTTTGACAGAAGACACATTGCTGGTGACCAAGAGAACCAGTGAAATGTAATATCATTACCTTCTTTTCCATGCAGAAGAACCATATACCCATGTGGCTATAGAGCAGAGGCCTGTGCTCCAGGGCACCAGGGTCCCAGGTCTCAGCCAGCACCTGGCCGGGCTAGATGCTCATCAGCCATCTGCTTGGGGAGCAGCTGGCCTCGGCAGCTGGCGGCTCCGCCCAGGCCGGCTGCCGTCTCTCAACTGTGGTCAGAGGGACGGGGCCTCGTCCTGCCTGTGCTGACAGTCTGGACACCCGCTGCTCTGGGGGCTGGAGACAGCTGCCAGCCGGGGTGGCTGTCCCTGCCCACCTGGTCCTCGATGGGTCCTGGAGGGCTTGGAGTAGGGGGAGGGCAGGCTGAGCTACCAGCCCTGCCCCGGGGTCCAGGGGCCCCACGCGGGCTCACGTCACTCCCACAAGGAAGCCTGCTCCCTTCACCCAGGCCCTACCGGCTCCCGGAGCGGGGCCCTCAGCCTGCTGCATGCCGGGGCTCCAGCTGCCAGGCAGCGTGGCCTCCTCCATGGCTCGGGTCCCCCCCTCTCCCTGCCCCCGAGGGCCCCTCCCTCCGCCTCGCCCACAGCTGCCAAGCTGCAGCCTCACCATTGTCCTGCCCAGGCCTGGGGAGAAGGCAGGTGTCATCTCCTGCTTTTCCAGTGGGGCCAAGAGGCCGCCTCTGCCTGTGCCGGTGTCGCCCCTGGTCTCTAAAGAGCACCTTCCGCACGCCGCCTGCTCCTGCTGTACCCACTCACCTTCCCCAGGTCCCCACACTTCGGCTTAGCCTCAGCCGGGCATGCACACACCTGTCCCGCCGCTGGACGAGGTCAGACAGTCTCCACCAGCCTTGGACCCCAGGGCCACCACATCCAGTCCCCTTGCCCGGCAACCCTGCCTCATTCTCACACTTCCTCCCCCCGAGGGGCGTCTGTGCACAGGCCCCCAGCACCTGCCACCTGTTCTGTGCACACCTTCCTGCCCCTGCGGGGCCTCACCCAGGGATCCTCAGCAGGGACCAGGGGACGCTCGCCCCGCCAGATAGGCCCCCACAGCACCGCGTGGCCCGTGACCAGCCGCACACCCCGTACTCGTCACGGCCCCGGCTGTGCCTGAGGAGGAGGTCATGGGCCCTCCCTCTGCCAGGTGAGATCAAGAGTGAGATCAAGAGTGCCCGTGGGGGGCATCCCCAGCCCCTGAGAAGTGCCCCACATAGGCCCTGGGGAGGAGGGGACTGAGCCAGGGAGGAGACCAGGGCGAGGCTGACTGGGGGCGGCTGATGGGTGATGCCCTGCAGCCTGGCATTTATTTAGGTGGTGGACAGGCTCTGCCGTTCCCGTGAGGGGTGACCTCTGCCGCCTTCTGGGCTCTGGGGGCCGGCTGCCTCCATCCTGCCCTGTGCAAACCCAGAGACGGGCTCCTCACCGGCCCGAGGGGCACCGAGGACTACAGATCAGTGCGGGGGCCTCCAGGGGCCCAGCGACCCAAGATGGGGGCCCTGCCAGCACATGGCAACGCCGCCTCAGGCTGCCAGGAGCGTGAGCCTTGTGTGGGTAATGAGGCGACTGAGGCCACGCCACTGGGGTGCCAGTGGAGCCCTGGGCCCTGTGGGCAGGAAAGGGACACACCTCGGTGCCCCCAGGATGTGCACTGACTGTGGGAGGGTCAGCACCCGCATCGGCCACGTCACCTGACTCACTGTTTTCCTGGGTGGACCCTTGTGCTTCATCTGCTTCTTGCAAACTTCCCCTCCCAGGGGGGACGTCACAGAGCGGGGTCCTCCTTGGCCTGGCTGACCACTGGCCCCTCACAGAGTGCACTGGTGATGCAGCGCGTCACACCAGACCCGCGGCCACAGAGACACTGGGCCGCTCTCCAGAGGTGCGCACCGAGGTACAGCCCCCCAAATCCACCAGGACCTTTCTGTCCTTCCCCGGCAGCTTGGCCTGCCCCACCGCCCGGCCCAGGCCCCTGCCCGGCTCAAGACCCACTGCCCGGCTCAGGCCCCTGCCCGGCCGAGGTACAGCCCCCCAAATCCACCAGGACCTTTCTGTCCTTCCCCGGCAGCTTGGCCTGCCCCACCGCCCGGCCCAGGCCCCTGCCCGGCTCAAGACCCACTGCCCGGCTCAGGCCCCTGCCCGGCTCAAGCCCCACCACCCAGCTCAGGCCCCACCGCCAGGCTCAGGCCCCTGCCCGGCTCAGGCCCTACCACCCAGCTCAGGCCCCTGCCCGGCTCAGGCAGCTGCAGTCCCTCCATATGAAGAGCACCTGGGCTTGCTGGGAGGCAGCTCGGATCACAGGCTCTCTAACCAGCTTCCTTGGCGGGTGGCACCTGCTGCTGGCCTCTGGACCGACTCAAGCAGCCAGGATACCCTCCCTGTCCACGCTGGTGTCCTCCGAGCTGCTCAAGAGCTGGCTGAGTTCTTAGAGATCCAGGGAGCCAGCAGGCCAAGGGGCTGGGCTCCACTCTGCCATTTGTTGTTGTGTTTTTTTAATCTTTTTTCTTTTTAAATCTTTATTGTTCAGATTACATTTGTTCCTCTTTTTTCCCCCCATAACTCCCCTCCTCCCAGTTCCCACCCCACCCTCCGCCCTCACTCCCCACCCACTGTCCTCATCCATAGGTGCACGATTTTTGTCCAGTCTCTTCCCACATCTCCCACACCCCTTTCCCCCCCGAGAATAGTCAGTCCATTCCCTTTCTATGCCCCTGATTCTATTATAATCACCAGTTCATTCTGTTCATCAGATTATTTATTCACTTGATTCTTAGATTCACTTGTTGATAGATGCATCTTTGTTGTTCATAATTTGTATCTTTACCTTTTTCTTCTTCCTCTTCTTAAAGGATACCTTTCAGCATTTCATATAATACTGGTTTGGTGGTGATGAACTCCCTTAGCTTTTCCTTATCTGTGAAGCTCTTTATCTGACCTTCAATTCTGAATGATAGCTTTGCTGGATAAAGTAATCTTGGTTGTAGGTTCTTGGCATTCATCACTTTGAATATTTCTTGCCACTCCCTTCTGGCCTGCAAAGTTTCTGTTGAGAAATCAGCTGACAGTCGTATGGGTACTCCCTTGTAGGTAACTGACTGTCTTTCTCTTGCTGCTTTTAGGATTCTCTCTTTGTCTTTTGCTCTTGGCATTTTAATTATGATGTATCTTGGTGTGGTCCTCTTTGGATTCCTTTTGTTTGGGGTTCTCTGCGCTTCCTGGACTTGTAAGTCTATTTCTTTCACCAGGTAGGGGAAGTTTTCTGTCATTATTTCTTCAAATAGGTTTTCAATATCTTGCTGTCTCTCATCTTCTGGCACCCCTGTAATTCAGATGTTGGTACGCTTGAAGTTGTCCCAGAGGCTCCTTACACTATCTTCGTATTTTCGGATTCTTTTTTCATTTTGCTTTTCTGGTTGGGTGTTTTTTGCTTCTTTGCATTTCAAATCTTTGACTTGATTCTTGCGCTCCTCTGGTCTGCTGTTGGGAGTCTGTATAATATTCTTTATTTCAGTCAGTGTATGCTTAATTTCTAGTTGGTTCTTTATCACAACATCGAGGGTCTCATTAGATTTCTTGTAGATCTCATTAAGTTTATTGGCAGTTTCTAGAAAATTATTGAAAGACCTTAAAAGTTTGGTTCTGAACTCTATATCCTCCATTGACATTTGTGTCCTGTTTCTTTGTCTCTGCATTTTTTATGCTTTCTTGGTGCACCCCCTAGTGGTCTTTGTGCGCAGTCTTGTTGTAGTTAAGCCTTGATTGTTGTAGGTAATACTGGGGGTGATTTGACCTCCAGGCCAACTGGCTGTGAGAAACAGCTGTGTCTGCAGTGGGAGAACTTCCGTCCTCTGGGGAGGTGCTAATCTAGCCTTTGCCTGAGGCTATCACGCAAATGCCTTTGTGCAGGGCTTGGCGTGGCGGGTCACACGGGATCAACAGGGCGGGCGGAGCGAACAGTTATGGCTGCTCTCAGTCTAGTCCCCAGAGGCTCTGCTTCTCAGAGTCCCAGCAACCGCTGCAAACCTCGGAGAGAAAGCTGCCCTCGAGTTCCGACCGATGTCAGACAGTCCCGCTTCTCCCGTTTGAGTCTGGGTCCCTAGAGACTTGCCCAGAACTGGAGCTCAGAGCCTGAGACTCCCTCCCTATTGAAACAGACAACCGCGCCCTCAGCCGCCAGCCCGCTCCGCGCACCTCCGCACCTTTGTATTTTCCGCACTGCGCCTCCTCTGAGTCTCGGTAGGCTGTTCTCTTTCCTTCTAGTTGAAGAATTTCCCCTCAGCCAGCCTTCCTGTGGTTCTGGGTGATGTCCGTTCCGTCTTTTAGTTGTATTTTTGAAGTGGTTGTGCGAGGCAGCAGTCTTGGTTCTCTCCTTTAATCTTTATAGTTGAGAGTATTACAGATGTCCTCCTTTGCCCCCCTCCACCCGGTTCCTAACCTGCCCCAGGCCTTCACCCCCTACTGCCGGTGTCTATAGGTAAGATCTTTGGTTAATCTCTTCTCGCCCCTCCCCCCTTCCCTCTGAGAATCGTCAGTCTGTTCCATGTTTCCATATCTCTGATTCTATTTTATGCACCAGCTTATTTTATTCATTAGATTTCTTGCTCATTTATTTTGATTTTTAGATTCAATTGTTATAGATATGTATTTACTGTCATTTTATTGTTCATATTTTTAATCTTCTTCTTAAAAAATACCCTTCACATTTCATATAATACTGGTTTGGTGGTGATGAACTCCTTCAGCTTTTCCTTGTCTGCGAAGCTCTTTATCTGACCCTCAATTCTAAATGAGAGCTTTGCTGGGTAAAGTAATCTTGGTTGTAGGTTCTCACTATTCATCACTTTGAATATTTCTTGCCCCTCCCTTCTGGCCTGCATAGTTTCTGTTGAGACATCAGCTGACAGTCGTATGGGCACTCCCTTGTAGGTAACTAACTGTTTTTCTCTTGCTGCTTTTAAGATTCTTTCTTTGTCTTAAACCCTTGTCATTTTAATTATGATGTGTCTTGGTGCGGGCCTCTTTGGGTTCCTCTTGTTTGGGGTTCTCTGCGCTTCCTGGACTTGTATGTCTATTTCTTTCATCAGGTAGGGGAAGTTTTCTGTCATTTTTTCTTCAAATAGGTTTTCAATATCTTGCTCTCTCTCTCTTCTCCTTCTGGCACCCCCATAATGGACATGTTGGTATGCTCCTTACACTATCTTCATTTTTTTTTTCTTTTTGCTCTTCTGATTGGGTGTTTTTGCTTCCTCATATTCCACATCGTTGATATGATTCTCAGAATTCTCTACTCTACTATTGAATCCCTGAAAGTGATTCTTTATTTTAGTTAGTGTAGGCTTCATTTCTGATTGGTCCTTTTTCATATCTTTGACTTTCTCACTAAGATCCTTGAAAGTCTCATGAAGATCCATGAGTAACCTTATACCCATGGTCTAGGCCCTGACCCGCGGCCCTCTCTGGGGCCAGCCCTGCAACCATGAACTCTGTATCCAAAAGTTTGCTTTCTTCCATTTCTGTCATTTGTGGCATGTTTTGTTGTCTCCCCATGTTGACGCTTCCCTGTGTTTGCTTCCATGTATTAGGTAGAGCCTGCTATGTCTCCTGGAATTGGGAGAGTGGCCTTGTGAAGTATGTGTCCTGTAGGGCCCAGTGGCTCAGCCTCCCCAGTCGCCTGAGCTGGGAGCTCTAGGTGCGCCCCTGTGTGGGCTGTGTGCACTGCCTTGTAGTTGAGTCTTGATTGCTGTTGGCATCACTGGGAGGAATTGACCTCCAGGCCAATTGGCTGTGAGGATCAGCTGCGACTATAGTAGAAGAGCAGCTGTGCAGGGGACACCCCTATGGAGCAGGACTTGCTTCAGTGGGGCTTTGGTGCTCACTGAGTCTGCCCCTTGAGTGGTCGCTTATAGACGTGTAGAGTAGTAATTGGCTATGGTTGAAGCTGTCCACTGGGTGCACTGGCTCTAGGGCCTCCAGGGAGGTACAAAGTCAGCCACTGCCTGGGGCCACCCCGCAGGAACTACTTGTATTGGGCATGGAGCTGCCCAGGTGAAGCCCAGCTGTGAAGCAAGACAGGCTCCTACTAGTGCAGGGACTTGGGCCTCTTGCTGATAGGAATGGGGTGCACTGACACCAGCTGCCTCTTTCTTAAGAGGTTTCAGCAAAGCCTGAAGCCTGAGCTAGGACAGGCCATTCATATGCAAAAGCCACTGCAAACAGGTTGGGCAGGTTGCAAATTGGATGGGGCAGGGTCTCTGGGAATCACCAGGACGGAGCAAACAGATATTACCCCTGCCAGTCAGCCCTGCAACCAGAGAGGTCCCAGCACAGCAACAATGACCCCTGTGAGCACCTCCATCTGGGAGAAAGCTGCCCCAGGTTCCTACCCTGATGCCAGACAGTCCAGTTCCTCCCCGTATCTGTCTGGGCCCCCCAAAGCCACTGCCCTGCGCCGGAGCTCAGAGGAAGCGGGACCTTGTAAGTTCATGTGCGGGCCCTTTAAGAGGAACACCTAGAACTCCAGCAGCCTCTGTGTCACTGAGCCCCAACCCCCTCTTTTACAGCCCAAAGTCATGGGGACTTCTCTTCCCAGCTCTGGGAGCCTGGGCTGGGGTCTGGTGGGGACTGGACCCCTTGCGCCTCACGGGCGGCCTCCGCAGAGACAATCTCCCTCCTGATTTAAAAAATGCCACATGTGGGTGCTGGTCCAGCCAGTCTGTGCCTCCTACCAGTCTCGGTGTGCTTTCTTTAATTTTCTAGTTGTAGGACTTCCATTCAGCCAGATTTCCGGCAGTTTTGGATGCTGGTTGTTCTGTATTTAGCTGTAATTTTGATGTGGTTGTGGGAGGCAGCGAGTACAGGCTTTTTCCTACGCCACCATCTCGGCTCTTCCTCTGACACTTGTTTTGAAAGGTCCTCAGGCTAATCGCCTCCTTGCTCCGGGCCTCCATGTCCTCACCTTGCAATGAAAGGTTAGGCTTGAGCTGTGGGGTCCAGGCCAGCTCTAACCTTCTATGAAAACTCACAGCCACTCACATGAACTCGTTGACTCACCGTAACAGCCACAGGGAAACTGCCAGGACTTCCCCGTTCACATGTGGACGCTGGTCTGGCAACAGCCATGGGCCAGGAATCCACTCTCCTAATGGGGGTCACTCCCTGTCAAGAGTGACCCACCCCAGAGAGATGGCTCACTCTGGACCTGAAACAAGACCTCTTTCCCACGGGCTCTTGTCCGCACAGTGAGTTCCGTGCAATCAGAGAGGCTGCGTGGGTGCGCCCGGGGGACCCCGAGCCCTCCCACGGCCACGCGTGGCCAGCCCTGCAGGAGCCCACACCAGGTGTCTGTGTCACCCCCCCCGGGCTCCTGACTTCCCTCTAGGACACAGCCTCATCGCAGGCTGCCTCGTCTGTGTGTCAAAGAAAGACAGGAAGCAAATCCGGCTCCACCTCACCTGCTGGCTGCCCCTGCACACGGCCTAGGCCCTAGGCCAGTGATGGCGAACCTATGACACGCGCGTCAGAGGTGACACACGAACTCATTTTTTTGGTTGATTTTTCTTTGTTAAATGACATTTAAATATATAAAATAAATATCAAAAATATAAGTCTTTGTTTTACTATGGTTGCAAAGATCAAAAAATTTCTATATGTGACACGGCACCAGAGTTAAGTTAGGGCTTTCAAAATGCTGACACGCCGAGCTCAAAAGGTTCGCCATCACTGCCCTAGGAGGACAGAGCATGGGCAGTTCAGAGGCTCATGAGAACCTTAGAAGCGGCCAGAGTGGGACAAAGTGAACCGCAGTGCAGCTCAGGGCTCTAAACTCAGAGGAGAAAGGGCACCTCGGAGCCTGTCCACAGCTGCCTGTGACTCAGACCCCGCGGCGCCACCCCCTCGGGAAGGGCCCCTGCTGCCCGGTCCACGCCCCTCCTGGGCCCTGGGCCTGCACAGGTGCCATGCCCAGAGCTCCTCTTCCCCCTGCGTGTGGCCTCCCTCCAGTGGGAGTTGTCCTCTCCTCCCCTCCCCAGGATGAGCTCCCAGGGGTACTCAGTGCCTTTCTTTCTGCCACACTTGACCTTAAACACACGATTCGGTTGGGAAAGCCAGGCTCCAGTGGGGCTGCTGGAGCCAAGCATCAGAAATATTGCCTGGGACCCGGGACCTGGGGCCTGGGATGTGGGACCAGGGGCCTGGGATGTGGGACCAGGGGCCTGGGATGTGGCCTGGGATGTGGGCCTGGGATGTGGGCCTGGGATGTGGGGCCTGGGATGTGGGACCAGGGGCCTGGGATGTGGGGCCTGGGATGTGGGCCTGGGATGTGGGACCAGGGGCCTGGGATGTGGGCCTGGGATGTGGGGCCTGGGATGTGGGCCTGGGATGTGGGGCCTGGGATGTGGGCCTGGGATGTGGGGCCTGGGATGTGGGCCTGGGATGTGGGGTCTGGGATGTGGGCCTGGGATGTGGGACCAGGGGCCTGGGATGTGGGATGTGGGGCCTGGGATGTGGGGCCTGGGATGTGGGACCAGGGGCCTGGGATGTGGGATGTGGGGCCTGGGATGTGGGCCTGGGATGTGGGACCCAAGTCCTGGGGCCTGGACGGCTCCTCAGCGCAGGCTGGACACACTCAGGGCCCAATGGCTTCTGGGCCGGTGTCCAGCCGGCCTGGCAGTTCTGTGCTCTGAGCAGATGGCAGCACCTCCTGCTGGTCTTCAGCGCAGTGATGAACCACTTTTTAAATGTTTTCTCTCAGGAAGTTTCTAAAAACCTCACCAAGGAAAACGAGCAAATCAAAGAGGACGTGGAGGGAATTCGTGCCGAGATGAGCAAGCGCGGCAAGAACTGCTCCCGGGACGCGGCAGCCGGGCTCCCGGAGGCGGGGGCAGGCTCCACCCTGCAGAGGGATGCGGCCGCGGCCTACGCCCACCCCGAGGTACCGTCCCTCCCCCAGCATGAGCGCCTGGCAGGTGCACCGCGCTGATCCCATCCTGTCGCAGGCCGGGTCCCTGTCGTCCCTCGGCACCTCTGAGGCCCAGAGAGGGCCGCGGGTCAGTGTTGAGGGCAGGACTCCGCTGGCACGCGGGCCGGGCCGGTGAGGAGCCAGAGCCAGGAGAGCTCGCAGTCGCCCTGGCTCAGCGGGAAGTGGCGGTGGGGGTCTCAGCACACGGTCACCCGTGTAACGGACACTGTCTGATGCGACTTGATCGACATCCAACCACCCACTTGTTTCAAAGTTCCTCCCATTTGCGACCCGTTTGCTCCGGCTTCAGTTCCTACGTTGGTTCATGTGCTGGGGGTGACACGTGATACCATTTAATGTGTCAGGTTGCCCCCTAAATGGATGACCAAGAAACAGCATTAACTTGGAGGCTCACCTGAGTGAGTGGAGGAGGCAGCGGGTAACGGGTGCAGACTCCGCCAGGGCCAGGGCAGCGGTGGGAGGTGCTGGCCCCTGGAGGGCAGCCGTGACAGCCGCCTCACGCCAGGTGGATGGCAGAGGGATTCTAGGTGCACCACGCAGGGGCCTCCCCCAGGCAGCCAGGCGGGGTGTGGGCGGGGCAGGGCCGAGGCTGCGGTCACCTGGGAGGGCTGGGCGGCCTTGTCCATAGGACGCTGCTGCCTGGGTCGCTCATCCCCCGGCCTGGGACTTGGAGGAAGAGCAGCTCCTTCAGGGGTGCCGGGTGGGCAGCGCCGCGGTTTGGGGAACCGGGCACATGTGCTCCGAGGGCAGGACAGCAGTCAGCTTAGCCCTGTGGACAGTATGGCGCCTGCACCCTGCCCAGTGCGTGACTCAGAACAAACCCGTTCCAAACCAGAGAACAGGGATGAGGAAGGCCTCTCGTTTCCTGGCTTTGCCCGTGACGACTGCTTGATGCTTTGGGGAAGTATCATATTCCTTCAACCATCACATACATCCCCATGTCGGGGCCCGACGTGCTGCTGCTGGGCAGTGCCTGCTCTGCCTGCTGGGCCGCTGGAGCAGGTCTGAGCTCGGAACCCCAGGGGAGGACGTTTGGGCTGGAAGAGAACCTGGGGGCACCTCCGTGGCCCTGGGCGCCCCCGCCCGCTTGCTGCCCAGTGTGGGCTGCTGCCGCCCCTGGCCCTGCCCCAGCGGCCAGGCTGAGCTCGCCACGGTCTCGGTGACGCATCGTGTGGTGTGAACCAGCTCAGGTTTCCTGAGGGCAAACAGCAAACCAGCCAGACTCCCAAATCCCTCCTTGCTCAGCAGAGGCCTGTCCCCCCCAAGGCCCAGTCATCACACTGCGGTCAGCACAGTCCACCCAACCCGCTGTGGGGACAGAGCCAGGACCCCGAGGGAGGGGCCCAGCTGGGCTCGTCCTCTCTCACCCGCCCCTTCAATGAGCCCGGCTGAGGGGACCATTGTAGACGATTCTCGGCTTCTCAGAAGGGGCGGCGGGGGCGCAGTCGGGAGGCCTCTCGCCAAGAAGGTCCTGGCCTGGAGGTGGTGAGGGCTCTGGGCGCGGGCGGGAGAGGGGACAGCCAGACGCCAGGAACTGAAATCACACGCAGAGTCTTGGATAACGGATGAGGGAACCACGGCGGCCCGAGGCCTGTGCCAGGAATGCAGGGGTGACGCTTTCTGGCCGGGCCAGTGCGAGGTCGTGCTCTTCCCCGCGGCTCCCAGAGGGCGCCGAGCCCTGCCCGCCCCTCAGAGCCCGGAATTAAAGTCGCTCCTGAGGCTTGCCCCGGGGGGACGGGGCTTTTGAGATGCAGAGGGCACCTGGGCCCAGCGATACAGGGGGCAGCCGCCTGACCAGCGGAGGCTGTGGACTCAGGAGCCCCGCAGCCTCTGACTGGCTGGCATTGGACCAGACGGCCGCTCGGCCCGGCGCCCCCTGAAGCGAGCGCGGTGCCGGCCTGCGGAGCGGTGGTGAGACAGACGCAGGGCATGTCTGACCTCACGAGGTGCTCACGAAAACGTCGCCCTGGCACCTCTGGTCCTGACTCCCAGGTCCCCTCCACAGCCAGAGACAGGAGGCGGGGCGGCAGGAGCAGGTGGGTGCCTCTCAGGCCCCAGCCGGACCCTGCCTTCCAGGGCTCGGTCTCTTCGTGCCGGCAGGCAGGGCGCGTGTCTGTGGCTGGGAGGGCCCAGCCTCCTCCAGGCCAGACCTTAGTCAGCAGAGAGGCCTCCTGGGCAGCGAGGCGGTGCCGCCAGCAGCTCAGTGACTCTGAGGCCGCTCTGCCCCTCAGGCGCAGGCATCTGGGGCAGAGGCTTGTTTCCAAGTGGCTCTGCTCTCGCACCGCCGCCCGCCTGACGGGCCCCGGGGGACGGGCCGTGCCTCCTCTTGGGAGGGGCCTTTTGGGGCTTCAGTGGCTGAGAGCAGGGCTGGGCCACACCCCGAGGTCCCCACCACCTCCTGGATGGGCCACTGCCCTCAGGAGCGGGAGCCCCGGGGCCCTGATTTTGAGTGCACTGGCCCCGGCCCTGCTCAGGAGCCTGTGTGCCTGCCTCCTGATCCGTGAGTGGGCTGACGCCCCAGTCCTGCCTCGGAGGAGCCACGAGGGGAGTGAGCTGGCCACGGTGTCGAGACAGGAGCCCTGGCTCTGAGACGAAGGCTGAGTCTGTCCTTGCTGTTGCCTGGGCTCCAGTGCTGCCCCACCTGACCTGCCGCTGTGTCCCCTGAGCCTGACCGGTGGCCTGGCCTCCCTGTGTCCCCTGAGCCTGACCGGTGGCCTGGCCTCCCCCTGTCCCCTGAGCCTGACGGGTGGCCTGGCCTCCCCCTGTACCCTGAGCCTGACGGGTGGCCTGGCCTCCCCCTGTCCCCTGAGCCTGACCGGTGGCCTGGCCTCGCCCTGTCCCCTGAGCCTGACCGGTGGCCTGGCCACTGTGTCCCCTGAGCCTGACGGGTGGCCTGGCCTCCCCCTGTCCCCTGAGCCTGACCGGTGGCCTGGCCACTGTGTCCCCTGAGCCTGACCAGTGGCCTGGCCTCCCCCTGTCCCCTGAGCCTGACCGGTGGCCTGGCCACTGTGTCCCCTGAGCCTGACGGGTGGCCTGGCCTCCCCCTGTCCCCTGAGCCTGACCGGTGGCCTGGCCACTGTGTCCCCTGAGCCTGACGGGTGGCCTGGCCTCCCCCTGTCCCCTGAGCCTGACCGGTGGCCTGGCCTCTCCTGTCCCCTGAGCCTGACCGGTGGCCTGGCCTCTCCTGTTCCCTGAGCCTGACCGGTGGCCTGGCCTCTCTCTGTCCCTCTGAGGAACAGTATGAAGAGAGGTTCCTGCGGGAGGAGACCGTGTCCCAGCACGTCAACTCCATCGAGCTCCTGCGGACGCGGCCACTGGCTCCGCCCGAGCTGGTGCGGCCACAGCAGCCCGTCCAGAGGCAGGTGTCCCTGCGGGGTCGGCCGGCCTCCAAGCCTGCCATCATCCGGGGCATCACCTACTACAAAGCCCAGGACCCCGAGGACGAGAACGACATAGAAGAGCAGCGTGAGTGGGGCCAGCAGGGCTGGGGCCGGGCCGGGCAGCCGTGTCCCCCGGGGCCGAGGGCAGGTCCCTGACCTCACGGGCTTTCAGAAGACCACGTGGCGGCGAGGAGTCACCCTCCTGCCTGCCCTTCCCCGGGCCTGGCCTCCGGCCTGACACACGGCGCTCCCGCCTCTGACTCCCAGAAGCCCTGGCTGTCCCTGGTCTCTCCTGCTTCCTGAACTCTGTGCCCCTCCCCCCGCCCTCCCCTTCCCACACCCCAAAGGGTCCAGTCCGGCTCGTCCCCAGCTCTGCTCACCCAGTTGCTGTCATAGTCCTTTTGTCCATTTTTAACTGTTGTCTTTTTATCATTGATTTGGGGAGGCTGGCGTATTTGGGGACAAGTGCCTTGTCAGTCACATGAGCTGCAAGGCTGTCTCACTGCCTGCGGCCTGCACCTCGGGTGCCTTGATGAGCAGAGATCCACCAGCTCACCCACTAGTTCGTGGGGCCACACCTCTAGTCCCTAGGAAATCTGCTCCCACCTTCCTTCTCCATTCACACCCTGCGCACGCGCCCATTCACTCAGGATAACAACTGGAGTCCGCACGCAGCACCCAAGCCCCCCGCCACCGGCTCCCATGTCCCTCTGCCCTCACCTCCTGCTACCCCCACCTCGAACCCTCCTCTTTGTCCACATCGGCCTCGCAGGCATGTTCCGGCCCCAGGGCCTTTGCACGGCTGCTGTTTCCCCCAGAGCACTCTTCCCTGCAGCTGCCCGGCTCCCTCACGTCCTCAGGCCTCTGCTCATCTCCCTTCCAGCGAGTAGAGCTGACCACTGTACCCATCACGCAGGTCCCCTGCCGCTGCTCCCGGCCCCTCCGCACCCACCAGCTTCTCTCCGTACACTGCCATGTGCACGGCCCGTGTCTACTGTCAGTGTGTCCCTCACTAGGTGGCTCTGGGGGGCAAGGACCTTACTCTGCTCACTGCTGTCTGTGCCATAAACACGGGACGAGTGGACGGATGGGTGGGGCCTGACTTCCTCCCAGGCCCGGGTCCCGGGGGGAAAGCCTGTCGAGGCAGAGGCCTGCGCTCTGCTCCCTCCCACCTTCCTCTATTGGGTCCCTGCACTGGCCCGTTCTCTCCGGAGTCACGTGAGCCTGTTTGCTCCCCAGAAAGAACCAGTTTCTTCAGCGATGACAGCGGAGTGGACTTTGCTGATTGAGGACCCAGCTGCTGAAGACACAAACAGCCCTGCTGCCCACTGTGGGCCCGCAGGGCCGGGCAACCCACCCCGTCACGGCGCTGCTGCGACCACGGGATGTGGTCCCCCCCCGCCCATGGCCCCCGTCCTTCCCCCATGGCCTCAAGGCCCTCCCCCCTCGGCCCCCCCAAGTCCCTACCCGCCTCCTGCCTTCCCGCCGAGCCAGTCCCCCACACCACCGCCAAGCCACTGTCCCTCCAGCCCCCCGGGGGAAGAGGCGCTCCTTCCCACCTCCCACGCGGGCCTCACCCACCCCCGAGGCCCCACACGGCCACCCCACCTCTTCCGGCCCCGGCTGCCCTGCCGGTGGCTCCTGGGGACACACACTCGTCCCCAGTGCCTCCCACCACAGTCAGGACAGACTCCCTGGGGAAGGCCCCCCCTGCTGAGGGCACAGCCCCCGCCAGCCCCACCCTGCACCCGGAGGAGGACGACATCCGGAACGTCATAGGTGAGCGCTCCACCTGCCTGGCCGGGTCCGCTCAGGTGAAAGGCTGAGCCTCGCGATCGTGGGAGCCGGAGGCTCGGGCTGAGCCACAGAGAACGGGCCTGTGTTGTGCCCTTAGCTGCGACCAGCTTCACACCCGGGTCCATGGACCCAGAGGGCCGTCCTTGGTCAAGTGCATGGGAGCCAGTGGGCCACGGCCTGGCTCCACAAGGTCTGCAGCCACGTGCCCGGCACTTCCTGTCCTGGGCTGTGGTGGGCAGTGGCAGTGGGTCTCGGGGACTGGAGTTTGCTGAGGCCCAGCAGGTGAGGCCTCCGGGGGGTGACGGGCCGGACACAGTGGGGGGCCCAGGGGATGGCGCTTTCTTTTCCTCTTCCTGCCGGGGGGTGGGGGGGCGGCAGCTGGCCGTAGCTGGGCCGTCCCTCCACATGGACAGTGTGAGGCTGCATCTGCTCAACTTCTGCAGGATGCCGGGACCTGAGGGAGGCCCATGGCCACCCCGGGGCAGTCCCTGAGCCCAGCGCCCACAGTCCCTTCTGCCATGGAGTGAGCGCCCCGGGCCCCCTTCTCCACCGAGTCACCTTGAGGTGGAGGGACAGTTTGCCCGGAAACAGGAATCTGCCCCTGGGCCTCCGCGGCGGCCCTCACCCGGCTGATGGTGTTTGCCGCCTGGAGCCCCTTCTGTGGCCGCCGTCTCCACCACCCGCCCGGCCTGGCCCCACCCAGGCCTCTGCCCGCCCCTCCCTGGGGGTTGCCACTCGTGGGTTTTCTGGTGTGACCCCAACCGGGTCCTCGGGGCTCTCCGCTCCCTCCAGCAGTTTGGCTGAGAAGCTGAGGACCTGACGCCTGTGGTGTCCTGGCGGCCAGGGCCGCGGTGAGCGGGTGGGAGGGGACATTCTCTCTCGTTGGTCAACGCCCTGTTCAACTAGAGGGACGGCGTGAGGGGGCCCCGCTCCAGGACCGCCCACCGGCGCTGCCTCGTGCATCTTCCGTTTCCCTTAACCCGAGGGGGGAGGTCGCTGTGCGAGTCTGGTTTCCGGAGTCGCCGTTCACTGCCCGTTGCTGTCGAGTGCCCATCGCTGGTGTGGGTGACATTCCCTTTCCAGAACCTTCTCTGCAGGCCCGAGCCTGTGCCTGGCTGCTTCAGACCAGCCGGGCTGCGGGCCCCGTGCCTCTCACGTGGCGTCATCTGGTGGCAGTGGCCCGGCCACTGGGTGCTGCGCGACGGCTGCTGGCTGGGGGACGAGCGCGGTTTTGATTGGGGCTGAGGCGTGCGGCTACGTTAAAAGGAACATCCTATCCCACGGTTTCCAGACCCGATGCTGTGACCTCCCAAAAGGCCGACCCTTTCCTCAGGGAAACTGAAACCAGAGAAATTCCAGAACCGACCTCGGCTGTTTAACGAGCGTCAGGGGGAGCCCGGCTCCAGGCGGGAGGAGAGGCCATGGGCACGGGCCGGGGCTGCGTGGGCGACGCCGGAAGAAGCGGCTGTGCCCGGGGCCCAGGCAGCGGACAGACCGGGAGGTCGGCAGCTCCTGGCTCGGTGGGGCCGGGTCGGAGGAGCAGAGACAGTCGGCATGACAACAGCAGGGCGGCCTGGGTCTCCACAGGCTGGGAAACCCCATGACCGTGATCTGGGGGAGAAAGTCTCCCCCACCCAGCACCAGCCTGGGGAGGGGGTACGCCCTAGGCAGGGACCCTGCTGGGCACCCAGACTAGAAATGCCCTCGTCGCTGCCTAAGTCCCCTGCCCAGCAGCTCCCCTGGCCCCGGGCTCACCTGGACACCTCACGGCCCCTCGAGCCAGGCGTTGCCAGGCGAGGGTGGCATGTGAGCAGTGCCCTCCCTGGAGGGGGCTCACCCCAGGGCACAGGACGCCTGGCTTCCCCGCTGGCTGTTGGGCGTCAGGAGGGAGGTGTTTCCCACCCGAACGTCCATTTTATTGTCGAGCAGATGAGCTCGGTCGGGGGACAAGGCTTCGGCTGGTGGTTCTGCTGATGGTCTTAGGGGGACGGGTCCCTCTCCACTGTCCGGCCAGGGCCTAAGCCCCCTCCAGCTGCCTGCACCCTGCCAACGGCCCCCACTGCGGGGTCCGCCAGGAAACAACCACCGTCCGCTTGCAGCGCCTGGCTGCCCCGTCCTGACCGCGGGGCTCCTTCCTGGACCACTGATGGGGAGCAGAGCCACAGAACAGACTGGGACAGCTTGGAAATGGGGGTGGCCTGGAGTTGTGAGAACCTGGAGCTGAATGTCAGGGAGCAGCTGTCCTGCCCACGGGGCCCGCCTTGGCCCAGCCCTGATGGCGGGTGAGGTGTCCTGTGTCTGGTTGCCAGGCTGGCAGAGTCTGACACCGGCTCTCCACCTGCCTTTCCCCGTCGGCTCAGACGCACGGGTGCAGCACAATGAGCGTGTGCCTGTCATCACGTGTGCCCTCTGTCACGTGTGCTCTCTGTCACGTGTGCTCTCTGTCGTCACATGTGGTCTTGGACATTCAAGCTTTTCAGGCTTTCGCTCGGCCCAGAGCCAGCTTGTCCTCGTGCTGCGAGGCCTCGATTGGGCCCCAGGTTGCTCCAAAGAGCCGCGCGGAGCATTGCTGAGCTGCTGGCCCATGGAGGCAGACTGACCTCAGCAGGAGCCCAGCCCAGAGCAAGCCGCCGCCCGCTCCCCGTGCCCGGCACAGGCTGGAGGATCCAGAGGGCTGGTCTCTGGGCCCCAAACAGCCTGGGCCGAGCCTCTGGGGCAGCTCAGGGGCTGTGGACAGTGCTCCTGGCCACCACAGCGTCCTCGCTCGGGGCACCGTCTTGTTGCCCTGTCCTCACCGAGCCCCAGGGGTCGGCCTGTGCTGGGGGGGCCTGCCGAGATGCAGGGTGCCTGTAAGAGGAGCACCCGGCGCCGTGGGAGAGGCTCTGGCTTCGGGAAAGGACACAGCGAGGCCCACAGGGACGGTTCTGAGGGGAGAAGTCGGAGGCAGCAGCAGCGAGCGCTGGGGATGGCGGCCCGGGAGGCACGGGCGCAGCAGAGGCCGAGCGGAGCGAGGCAGAGAGCGTGGGGCCGGTGACTCGGGGCTGAGCCGGCTCCGGAGTCCAGACTCCAGGAGGAACTAGCCACAGGCTTGGGGGGCTTTCTGCCCTCACCCGACCTCTCTCTCCCTCAGGAAGGTGCAAGGACACGCTGTCCACCATCACCGGGCCCACCACCCAGAACACATATGGGCGGAACGAAGGGGCCTGGATGAAGGACCCGCTGGCCAGCGACGAGCGGATCTACGTGACCGACTCCTCCCACGGCAGCACCCTGGTGGAGTTCAGGAACCTGGAGAACTTCAGACAGGGTGCGTGCGGGCCCGCGGCTCTCCCTCCTCTGTCCTCTGCGCAGTCACGCTGGCCTGGGTGTGCCGTGCACGAGACGGGGCCTTCTCCCCCCACCTCCCCCACGGCCTCAGATCTCACGTCTGCCCTCCCTCACGCCCCTGGGACGGGGGCAGCCTGGAGTCAGGACCTCCTTTCCCCGGCCCTGAGAGCTCGCCACCACGCTCCCCTGGGGCCGAACCTGGGTTCCTGGAGCAGCAGTGAGGCGAGTGGCCAGAGCCATTTCTATGGGACAGATGAGGCTGCTGGGCCGTGAATGTAGAAAGTGGGGGAGCCACGACAGACCAGGGTGCAGACCCCTTGCTCGTCCCCGCACCCTGGGCACCGCATGCTGAGCCCGCCTTGTCCCCGCAGGCCGCTGGAGCAACTCGTACAAGCTGCCCTACAGCTGGGCGGGCACGGGGCACGTGGTGTTCGGGGGCGCCTTCTACTACAGCCGCGCCTTCACCCGCACCCTCATCAAGTACGACCTGCGCCGCCGCTACGTGGCCGCCTGGGCCCTGCTGCCCGACGCCTACGAGGAGGCCACGCCCTGGGGCCGGCAGGGCCCCTCAGACGTGGACTTCGCCGTGGACGAGAACGGGCTGTGGCTCATCTACCCCGCCCTGGACGAAGAGGGCTTCAGCCAGGAGGTGATCGTGCTGAGCAAGCTCAATGCCGCAGACCTGAGCACGCGGAAGGAGACCACGTGGCGCACGGGGCTCCGCCGGAACCTGTACGGCCACTGCTTCGTCATCTGCGGGGTGCTGTACGCCGTGGACAGCCACAACCAGCGCCACGCCAACATCTCCTACGCCTTCGACACCCACACCAACACGCAGATCGTGCCGCGGCTGCTGTTTGAGAACGAGTATTCTTATACCACCCAGATCGACTACAACCCCAAGGACCGGCTGCTCTACGCCTGGGACAATGGCCACCAGGTCACCTACCGCGTCATCTTCGCCTACTGACACCCCGGCCGGAGCAGGTGTGCCCGGGCCACTGCACCTTGTATGTGCATGTGCACGTGTGTGTGCGCATTGCACGTTTGTGTGTGTGCACGAGTGTATGCATGTATGTGTGAATGTGTGTGTGTACATGTGTGCACGTGTGTGTGTGCAGATGGGTAAGTGCTGTTCAAAAAATATATATTATTTTGTATAATGTAAAGTGACAGTTTGGGTCTATTTTTTTATATGGATTGTAGATCAATCCATACATTATGTGCTGGCCTCATCCTCCACAGTTTATATTTTTGTGCAAATGAACTTCTCCTTGGACCAGTGACCACCTTCCTTCGAGCCTCCGCCCCTCTGGCTCCCGCGTCTCAATGGCATGGTCTCCATGTGGGTCTTGTGGCCGAGGCACCTGCAGCGGGAGCGAGGGAGGCAGGAAAGAAGTGCTAAGGGGCAGGAAAAATTATGTGCTGGAGAAGTTTTTAAAACCCAGAAAATGCTTTTTTAAATAAAGAAGGAATTTAAAATGACCCCAGTGCGTTTCTGTTCAGCGCTGATGTCTGTCCGGGGCTGGGCCCTCACGGGGAGAGGCCTCCAGGACGTGGGAGCCTGTTCTTCCCGTCCGTCCTCCCCTCCCCGGGGGAGCTGGTGCTCGCTCTGAAATGCACCGCTGAGCAGTGGGGCCTGGTCCCTGCACCCCCTGAAGCTCGCCATCCACCACTCACTGCTGGTGTGTCCCATAGTCCCCTCCTCACCTGACCCTCCGCCAGGCTTTCCTCCCTCTTCCCCTCCGAGCCAGACGCCTGCTGCCCTCAGGCATGCCCCGTCCTCCAAGTGCACAGACCGGACAGAAAGGGACTCCTGAGGCGATGGGAGGCCAGGCATCGCGCCCCCACGGCCCCACGGCCCCCTCCGTGCGTCCTGCACAGACCTCAGAGGCCTCCCACGACACCCCTCCACGAACAGACCTGAGAAGGATGCCAGTTTCAAAGTTCGGTTTGAACATGACTCTGTAATGGATCCAGTTTCTCTGTTCATGCCGGTGCCAGAAGCTGAGGGCCAGGCGTGGCTGCCGTGGCAGGCACAGGTTGTCCTGCTCCTGTTGTCTCTGCCTCTCTCTGGTCCTATTCCAGACTTTTCATGTCCCTTTTTCTCTGAGTGGCCATGGGTTTTGTTTGTTTGTTGCTTGTTTTCCCAGCTCTGCAGGAATGCACTGTGTTCCTACGGAAGCTGTGTCTGGATGCACGGCCAGGCCACACACATGCTCCCAAAAGGTTTCACAGCAATCCTACCTGTGTGTGTGGGGGGGGGGGGGCGCAGGGGGGACAGGGACAGGGAGGCTGGCGGGGCTGGGGCAGGGCAAGGCCCTGGGGGCTGTTTTCCATGTGACCTGGCTGAGCTCTGGCTGGAGGCCGTGCCTGGTTGAGCACCTGGAAAGCCTGGCGGTGCCTGGGGAGCTGATGCAGCAACAGCCGCAGGGCCAGGGCGGGCGGAAACCTAGGGCCTTCCTGGAGGCACACAGAGCAGGGGCTGGCGGCGGCGGGCGAGTCTGGGGCTGGAGGGAGCAGGAGGTCCGCCTGCTGCCTCAGAACCAGCCCCACCCTCCAACCTCCCTTCCCCACCGGAGCACAGAGGCAGGAGGGTGGACTCCTCTGTCTCCTGGTCAGAGGTCAGAGGCCACTGGGAGGGAGTTGTAAGGATACAGGCCACACCACTGGGGGGGGGGGGCGCACCGTCCCCTCTGGGACCCGGACGGCATCTCCACCCCTTGGGGCACTCAAGCTGCCGTTTCTCTCTGCCCCTCACCCTGCATGTGCCCAGCACAGCAGCTCAGCTGTGCAAGGAGCCCCGCGCTCTCGGAGCCGAGCACCTGCAGCTCGCCCTCCTGTCTCCCACAGGCCAGCGTCTGCCGCCTCCAGTCAGGGTGCGTGGAAGTGATTCCTGTGCGGGCTGAGGACCCCAGGGTGTCCTGGCTGCTCCTCCCAGGGGCGCTGCAGAAACACCACCCGCGGCTGAGGAGCCACGTGGGTTGCTCAAAGCCCGTCTCAGCCAAAGTGGTGCTTTGAGATGCGGTAAGTTCCTGGGCACTGGGGCCTCCCTCAGGGCCTTCCCGGCCACCCCTCCCGGAGCCCCCTTCCCTCTGGGGAGGCCTCCCTGGCCCGCCACCTCTCACCTACTTGCTCCTGTGTGTGGCCAGCCCGGGACCGAGTTCCCACAGGAAACCACGGCGGGAAACGGGGGAGCACCCCCTGCCACGGGCTAGACAGGCGGCAGCTCTGAGGGTCCTGAAGGAAGCCGTGGCTCCTCCGTGGGCCCCACCTCGACTCTCAGAAAGCAGCTCCGATGGGAGTGCTGACTGCAGAATTGGGGGGCTGTGCCTGACACCCCACCGTCCTGTGCCCTCTGCCAGTGGGCCCGGGCCCTGCCTGCCTGCTGCTGTGCCAGCTGGGCTGCCAGGGCCACAGCGTGTGACCCGCGGGCCTGCTGTGCAGATGGCATGTCCCCAGCACGTGGTAATGGTCACGCCCGGTCAGGAGCCCCAGGGACTCGGAGCTGGCGGGTCTCTCGGTTTTGTCTGCAAGGCTCTTCCCAGGGAATCAGCACAGGGACGCTGTCCCAGAGGGAAGCTACCAGGG